TTTGTTTACTTTGAGTTTCATTCAGTCTGTATTTGTCAGGATAGAAGCTGAAGTTGTGGGGACTTTTTCTTCACTGACGTGGGAACTGAGCGCTACAGATGTGCCGCAGGGTGCAGAGTTAGAAGCATGCCGCAGACTCTCACGGCTCAGCGCAAAGTGCTGACTGCCCTTGCTTCTTGACTGTGGGTTGTTCAGAAGTGGATTCTTTAGTTCCCACATATTTGGGCACCTTCTGGACATCTTCATGTTACTGATTCCTAATTTTATTCCATTGTTATCACAGAACATACTTTGCATGGCCTTGAGTCCCTTTCATTTCACTGGGACTTGGTGTGTGACCTTGCTTGGTGGATGACCCACGTGCACCTGCGTAGGACGTGTTTGCAGCTGCTGCTGGGGGAAGTGTCGGAGCAGGGTGGCGGGTGGTGTCTCTCCCTCCCGTCAGCCCTGTGACTCAGCCATTGAGAGAAGAGTATTTCAATCTCTGCTTCTAATTTTATGTCTGTCTATTGCTCCTTGAGGGTCTATCAGTTTATTTTCCTCCCACCCTCCACCTTCCCTCCTATTGAGCCGCGGCCCCGCCCCCTCTTCTTTCTTTAAGATTCAATAATTTCCATCATAGAGAGATCTGACATCCTCGGTTAAGTTTATTCTAAGGCATTTGTTTCTTTTTTGTAACTATCTTGAATGGGATTGATCTTAGAAGTTCTCTGACAGCCATGGCATTACCTCCCCCACATTCCCTCCTCACCCACCTTCCCTCCCCTCCCCCACCTTCCCTCCCCCTCCCCCACCTTCCCTCTTCCTCCCCCCACCTTCTCTCCCCCTCCCCCCACCTTCTCTCCCCTCCCCTCCCCTCCCCTAATATCTTGATACTTGTTTTGTGTATGCTTTCCTTTTCCTGGTTTTTTGGTCTCCTTTTGAACTAATTATTTTTATGATTCCAATTAGCAAAATATTTTAGTTGATAGCTAAAACTTCATTTCATAATTTTAGTGGTTAGAGTTTATAGTACACATCTTATTACTGTCTACCTTCATTTATCCTCACTTATACATTTTAATTTGAATTACAACATAAACTCAACAGTAGTTCACTTATTTTTAAAGAATTTAACGAGGAAGTTGTATATATCCAAATGGTTACCATTTCCGGTATTCTCCATTCCCTTGTGCAGACACATTATTTCCTCTTGTGTCATTTTCTTTTTTTTTTTTTTTTAAGATTTATTTCTTTGAAAGTCACAGTTACACAGAGAGAGGAGAGGCAGAGAGAGGAGAGGCAGAGAGAGAGAGAGGGAGGGAAGGAGGGAGGGAGGGAGATTGGTCTTCCATCCGCTGGTTCACTCCCCAGTGGCCGTAAGGGCCGGAACTGTACTGATCCGAAGTCAGGAGCCAGGAGCTTCCTCCAGGTCTCCCACGTGGGTGCAGGGGCCCAAGGACTTGGGCCATTTTGTACTGCTTTGCCAGGCCACAGCAGAGAGCTGGATGGGAAGTGGAGCAGCCAGGACTCGAACCAGCACCCTTATGGGATGCCGGCACTTCAGGCCAGGGCTTTAACCCACTGCGCCACAGCGCCGGCCCCTCTTGTGTCATTTTCTTTCTGCCTGAAATACTCTTCAACATTGATTTTTGCTTCAAAATGTAGTGTACTATGGGAAAAAAAATTTATTCCCTGCATTGAAAAAATAATTTTTGCTAGATTTTGTGTTTTTAGGTTTTTGTTTTCAGATTTTAAGGATGCTCCTCTCTGTTTTCTCCCTTTTTTTTGTTACTGATGAGAAATCTGTCATTTTTTAATTAAGATTTGTTTCATTTTATTTGAATGCAGACAGAGACACAGAGACAGGCAGCGATCTTCCATCTGCTGCTTCACTCCCTAAATGCCCATCACATCCAGGGCTGAGTTAGAACAAAGCCAGGAGCCTAGAGCTCTGTCGCTCCCCCTCTTCGTGGAGGAATGACACAGGACCCTGCGCTGTTCTTTCGTCTGCTCAGCCCTCCCCGGGTTTGCTGCTGGTTCTTCCCGGGTTGGCTGCCGTCCCTTCCACCTCCGTGGAAGGGCAGTTCCCCCTGCCACTTTCCCCACTTCCGCAGGGGAGCGGCACACCGCCGGCCGGCTCTCTCGGGGGCTGCACAGGTGTTCCTTCAGATAGATGTTCCTGGTGCATGTTGTCTCTCTCCTCCTTTATAGTCCTCTTCCACCAATCCCAACTCTGCTACCCACACGCCGAGTACGCTGCTCTCCTCCAATCAGGAGCAGGATCAGCTCCTGCAGGTCATCACTCAAGTTGGCGAGAGACAGCTGCGTAGAAGCTGTTTACTCCTCTCCCAGCGCCATATTGTGGGAGAGCAGATGCATAGAATAAGTCTTAATTCCAGTAACTTAGTCTAGTCCGAGTTGCTCCCCACAGAGCTCCATCCAGATCTCCCAGGTGGGTGGCAGGGAGCCAAACTCTGGGCCATCACCTGCTGCGTCCCAGGATGTGCCACGACCGAGACCCAGGCCCTGTCCAGGACGTGGGCGTTCCAGGCAGCACCTTAACTGCTGGTCCAGGTGCCCACCTGTCCTGTCATGCTTACTGTTCTAATATAAGAATCATTCATTGGTTTGTTTGTTCATTCATTCATTCGGAAGGCTGAGTGACAGCGAGGAGGAGGGAAAGGGAAGGGTGGGAGAGAGGGAGAGGGAGAGGAGTGTCTGCGCTGGTTCACTCCCCATATGGCTGCATCAGCCGGGCTTGTCCAGGCCAGAGCCAGCACCAGGAACTTCATCCTGCTCCCCACATGGTGGCAGGCCCAAGCACTGCCTTCCCAGCACATCAGCAGGAAGCTGGATTGGAAGCAGCGCAGCCAGACTTGAACCTGTGCCCCAGTGTGGGCTGCTGGCACGCAGGAGGCAGCATGACCCGCTGTGCCCAGTGCAGCCCTGCCCTCAGTGTCACTCCCTGTCCTCTCTCTGGTTGCTGCCAGCACGTTCTCTGCACTGCCTTTGAGCGGCCTGGCTGTGGTATGCCTGGGCGCACCTTGTCCGTGTTTCTTGTGCTTAGCTGTACAACTCGTGCACATGTGTGAGCCCCAGAGAGGCTGGATTCGGTTCAGTGAGGGTGTTTGGGAAGTTCCGTGGTCCCGGGGGCGTGTCTGACGGCGGTTCTCACAAGAGGGTTGGTCGTGGAGGCCAAGCTTTGCTGGTCGCCACGTGGCTGTTCCTCCGCAAACACCCACCAATGCCAGCGCCCAGCCCCTGCAAGACAGCCGGCCAACAGGGCCCAGCCCCAGGCCACGAGTCCGGGTCGACCCCTGCCCCTGTAAGTAGGTTCTCTGGGTACCTCCTCGGGTGGCGCAAAGCTGATAACACGGGGTTCTTCTAATCCCTTGCTTCTGTGGGTTTCCGGTTTCCTGAGGTTTGGGGATGTGGGGATGTGGCCATTGTTTCCTCAGACATCTTCTCCCTCACCGTGCCGTGGGGCTCCGGTCATGGCTGTGCGTTGCGTTACCTGACGGTGTCCCGCGGCTCACTCGCGCTCTGGGTTTTTTTTGTTTGTTTGTTTGTTTGTTTTTTCTTTTTGTCTGTGACTCTTTTTGGATAGCTTGTATTGGCAAGTCTCGAGGTTTACCAATCTTTCTACTCAGTTGCTGACAGCACCCATAACTTGGCACCTCAGCCGTTGTCGTCACCTCGCAGTTTGGATCTCGGTGTCTCTCGCGTCTCTGCATGACGTATTTGGTGTCTACCCGGGCTTCGTGGGCTGTATTTCACGTACTGCAGTTACGCTAATGTGCTTCTCTGTGCTTTCTGCCATTGAGTGGATTTCCATAGAATGGATTTTCTCCTCATTAGGGGCAACTTTTCCTCCTTTCTTGACATCATGGTTGTTTTTGTTTGATGCCAGACGTTGTGAGTTTTACTCTGTTGAATGCAGGATATTTTTGTATTCCTGTGAATGCCTTTGAGTTTTGTTCTGGACTGCAGTCGAGGTACTCGGAAGTAGTTCCTTTCCACTCCTGTTCTTAGGAGTCGTTAGACTGGACCAAGGCAGCCCGTAGTCTAAGGCTGCTTGTTCTCTACTCCTAAAGCAAGCCCCTTATGTTCTCCCTGGTGACCCGTGAGGATCCATTTTCCACTCAGGACTGGTGGGAAGGGGCCCCTCGCCCCTCCTGGGGTGGGCCCTGGCTGTTCCAGGCATACTTGGTTGCTGGATTCTTTCCCCAGCCTGGGGCTCCCACACGCGTGTGCTGCTCAGGACTTCCCAGGGGGCGCTCTGCGCGCTCGGCCGCTCTGAGTCCGCTGCAGGTCAGCACGCTTCTGTGTGCGCTGGAGCCAGCTGCCGCGGTCTTCCTGGACCTCAGCCCCTCCCCCGCCCATCAGGCTGTGCAGGGCAGGCCCGGAGGAGAGAAGCCCGGTTTGGAGGCTTTTGGGTGTGGAATGGAATGGTCAGGACTCGTCTGACGCGATGTATTGATGCCTGAGCCGGTCCCTGCTGATTACGTTCAGCAGTGAGTGGTCCCTGTGGGATCTGGCCTTGCTACAGACCCACAGGCCATCGAAGCGTGCTTGCCAGTAAAGGCGTGGGTGTGGGTACTGGGCGACAGTGCTCCCTCCCCGGGGCCAGAGAAGGTTTCTCCAGGCAGCTCAGTGACGTCAGGGCACTTCATGGCACAGGACAAGGAGGCTTCACTTGCTTGTTTCAGACTGATTTTTCTATTGAGGGGAAGGAACAGGGAGCCCGGCTTCCACACCCCGATGACTCACCAAGGTAGGTGTGAAGAGTTGATGAACAGGTAGTCGACCCCAGGCCCAGAGCCGCAGCACTGACACTGCCGCTCCCTAGAGCAGCAGGCTGTCCGGGCGCCTCCGAGATCCACCCCCGAATCCGCTGTGATCTGTGTGCACAGGAATACGAAGCTCGGGGCGAGCTACTCGAGTGTGAATGGGTACACCTGCCCTCTAGTGGCTGCCTGGAAACCTGCAAGGGGTTTTAAAGCGTTTTCTCGTTCTAGGACTTTTGCACAGAACTGCAGGAACATTGAACATCTAAACCTCAACGGGTGCACGAAGATCACCGACAGGTGAGAAGGGATTCGCTGGGAGGCCCAGTGGCCGCGGGGAGGGAGGGCAGAGGCGTGGCTGACAACGTCTGCAGTGTGCCTGCCCTTCTCCACCCAGCACCTGCTACAGCCTAGGCAGATTCTGTTCCAAGCTGAGACATCTGGACCTGACCTCCTGTGTGTCCATCACAAACAGCTCCTTACAGGGGATCAGGTAAGGGTGCTGGTGTCCGGCGAGAAGCCCCGAAGCTGCACACACTCGGCGTATCCTGGGAAGTAGGTGGCTCGGGAGGTCCCTGAGAGCGTGTCCCTCTGAACGCCGGCGACGCCCTGGGCTCGGGGTGGTGGTGAACTGTCCGGGAGCCTGCGCGTGACGTTTCTGCTCTCTGTCACAGCGAGGGCTGCCGCAGCCTGGAGTATCTGAACCTCTCCTGGTGTGACCAGATCACAAAGGATGGCATCGAGGCTCTGGTGCGGGGCTGCCGGGGCCTGAAGGCCCTGCTGCTGCGGGGCTGCACACAGGTGCCTGGGGCTGCCAGCGGGTCCCCAGTGGGGTGGGTGGGGCTGCACACAGGTGCCTGGGGCCAGCAGGTCCCCTGTGGGGTGGGCGGGGCTACACACAGGTGCCTGGGGCCAGCGGGTCCCCTGTGGGGTGGGCGGGGCTACACACAGGTGCCTGGGGCCAGCGGGTCCCCTGTGGGGTGGGTGGGGCTGCACACAGGTGCCTGGGGCCAGCAGGTCTCCTGTGGGGTGGGCGGGTCCCCGTGGGGTGGGCGGGGCCACACATAGGTGCCTGGGGCCAGCAGGTCCCCTGTGGGGTGGGCGGGTCCCTTGTGGGGTGGGCGGGGCTGCACACAGGTGAATGGGGCCAGCAGGTCCCCTGTGGGGTGGGCGGGGCTACACACAGGTGCCTGGGGCCAGCGGGTCCCCTGTGGGGAGGGGTGGGGCTGCACACAGGAGCCTGGGGCCAGCAGGTCTCCTGTGAGGTTGTCGGGTCCCCGTGGGGTGGGCGGAGTCATACATAGGTGACTGGGGGTCAGCAGGCCCCTGTTTGTGGGCGGTTCCCTTTGAAGAGTGGGCGGGTCTGCAAAACTGAATGG